TAGGTACACAAAGAAAAAGGGCCTGGCTACCAGCCTCAAGAAACTTAGAGTCGAATGGTTATAATGCATATATTTTGAACCCTTAAATCGATGTCTCAAATGCCGAATCAGAGCTCTGTAATTAACAATCATTAGGCACCTTAGCTTTGCAAAGTGGCTTTAGAACTCTTTGGGAGTAATCATTTTAAGAGATAAAAGAGGGCAAATAAAAACACACATGGTTGGCATGTGCATAGCTATGTTTTCAGTGATCAGGGAGACTGGGAAGATCAGACTGTACTCCCGGAGGGGCTGAGCAGATTGTCACAGATGAGTGGGACTGAGTGAGAAGTGCTTCCTGTAGCAAGTGGCCTTAGTGTAGCAAAAGTTTCCATGAATTCTGAATCTGTTATCGCTTGCCTGTCTTTGGGGAGAACTGCTTCATTTATTGATTGATTTATTGAAATTTAATTTTATTTCCAATCGAGGGGGTACATAGGCATGCTTGTTACATGGGTATATTGTATGCTGGCCTTCTAGTGTACCATTACCCAGAGAGTGAATATTGCACCTGATGGAATTTTTCAACCTTTGCTGCCTTCAAATACCTGCCCACCCCTTTTGGAGCCTCCAGTGTCTGCTGTTTCCATCTTTGTGTCCATGTCTACTCATTGCTTAGGTTCCACTTGCAAGTGAGAACATGTGTGTTTGATTTTCTGTCTCTGACTTAGTTCCTTAGGATAATGGCTTCCAGCTCCATCCATGTCACAAAGGACATGATCTCATTCTTTTTCTTTTTTCTGTGAGATGGAGTCTCACTCCGTTGCCCAGGCTGGAGTGCAGCGGCGTGATCTTGGCTTGCTGCAACCTCTGCCTCCGGGTTCAAGTGATTCTCCTGCCTCAGCCTCTAGAGTAGCTGGGACTACAGGCATGCGCCACCATGCCCAGTTAATTTTTTTTGTATTTTTAGTAGAGGTGGAGTTTCTCCATGTTGGCCAGGCTGGTCTCGAACTCTCAACCTCAGGTGATCCACCTGCCTCGGCCTCCCAAAGTGCTGGGATTACAGGCGTGAGCCACGGTACCCCACTGATCTCATTCTTTTTTATGGCTGCCTTTTTTTTTTTTTTTTTTTTTTTAAAGAAACAGTCTCACTCTGTTGATCAGGATGCAGTACAGTGGCACGATCATAGCTCACTGCAGCCTCGAATTCCTGGGCTCAAGAGATCCTCCCACCTCAGCCTCCTGTGTAGCTGGGATGACAGAGGCACTCCACAAATGGCTAATTAAAAAAAAATGTGTAGAGTAGAGATGGGGCCTCACTCTGTTGCCCAGGCCGGTCTCAACAAGCAATCCTCCTGCTTTGGCCTCCCAAAGTGCTGGGATTACAGGCATGGTCCTCTGCACCCAGCCAAGAACTGCTTTCTAAATGTCTGCCCTGCAGAGTCGGGGGCATTGTCTCCTTGAGTAGGAAGTTTGATGTCTTTGCCCTGCCTTTGTGCTTTTGATCCTCTCATACTTTTGAGACTGTATTTTCACACTTTTACTTTCTGCAGGGGTGTTGGCTGCACCTCTCAATATACCTCATCCCTGCATTTTATCCATTGCTTTTTATTCCTCCTTAAAGAACATTAAGATGAGAGCTAAGGCCAGAGCCAGTGCCGGCCTCAGGCCTCCCTTTCTGGGGCCTGTGGGCCACTTGTCACAATGTGTGGCCTAGAGCCTTTGGCTGCGTTTACAGTCTGTGCACCTGTGTTCTTCTGGGAGCTGAGATTTGCTAAGATCCGCTACAGTGAAAGTTTTATCCAAGTAAACGTCTCTCACCTCTTTGGGGGCCTTTTCATCTGTCGAATAAGCAAAACTGTCCAGAGGTAATCAAGTGTGCAAGGCGCAGCTGCTGCTTCTGTCTAGGACCTGGCTGTTCCTTGTTCCTCATTCTCCTGAACCATCAGTGGGATTTTTTCTTCTTTCTCTTAGGACACGTTCACAGTCTGTGCAGGCAGTGAAGCTGGACGTACAAGAGCACAGCGGAACCGAGGCTGTGGGTGCTTCCTTTATCCCTGCTCCACCTTGTGCCCTCTCAGAGCATTGAGGCCCCTGGTTTTTATCCCTGCTTCTTTAGTTGCCTGAGACGCAGTCTTCATTGGGAGGGGCCTGAAAAGAACTCAGAAGCAGGACCTGGTGCACAGTAGGCATCTAATAATGATTGATCTTCGGCTGCCTCTGCAGCCCTGTGTGTGGCATTGCACCCCGTGGCCTGCCGTGAAGCAGAGTCAGATTAGCCGCCTGGTCCCACAACAGGGGATTCTCTGCGGAAAATCATTCTCCTGGGACTCATGTCCTCGTCCTTCCTGTGGGAGTGGGGAGGCTGCCTCCCTCACACGTGGCTGTGTGGAGTTATAAACCAATAAAGTGACTGCTTAGCATATGGCTGAATGTCAAGGGCGACAGAAATGCTTAATTTCATTTATTTAGTAGTAGTCGGGTGGCCACGTGAATGTTGCTGTGGAAACCGTAACTCTTGAATTTCTTGACACTTATCTTTGCTGTTGTTTTTAAATGAGGCTTTACATTTAAATCTTATAATTTTTTTTTTTTTTGAGACGGAGTTTCGCTCTTGTTACCCAGGCTGGAGTGCAATGGCGCGATCTCGGCTCACCGCAACCTCCGCCTCCTGGGTTCAGGCAATTCTCCTGCCTCAGCCTCCTGAGTAGCTGGGATTACAGACACGCGCCACCATGCCCAGCTAATTTTTTGTATTTTTAGTAGAGACAGGGTTTCACTATGTTGACCAGGATGGTCTCGATCTCTTGACCTTATGATCCACCCGCCTCGGCCTCCCAAAGTGCTGGGATTACAGGCATGTGCCACCACGCCCGGCTAATTTTGTATTTTTAGTGGAGATGGGGTTTCTCTATGTTGGTCAGGCTGGTCTTGAACTCCTAACCTCAGGTGATCTGCCTGCCTCAGCCTCCCAAAGTGCTGGGATTACAGGTGTGAGCCACTGTGCCAGGCCCATCTTAGCCTTTTTATAGGAAACTGTGAGCTGTACTGCCCCCACCCAGGAGCATCTACTTTCCAGTTACTCTCACCTGACCCCTCCCTTTCTTCCCCCCAAGGTTATATATCTTCTATCTATCCATCCACCCATCCACCCGTCCACCCACTCATCCATCTGTCTACCCGTCTGTCCATCCACCCATCCATGTGTCTACTCATCCATCCCATTCCATCCATCCATCCCATCCATCCATTCATCCCATCCATCCATCCCATCTCTCCATCCATCTACCCATCCATCCATCCCATCCATCCATCTATCCCATCCATCTATCCCATCCATCCACCCATCTTATCCATCCATCCATCCATCCACCCATCCATCCCATCCATCCACCTATCCATACATCCATCCATCCCATCTATCCATCCATCTACCCATCCATCCATCCATCCCATTCATCCCATCCATCTATCCCATCCATCTACCCATCTATCCATCTATCTTATCCATCCATCCACCCATACATCCATCCACCCATCCATCCATCCATCCATCCACCCATCTACCCATCCCATCCATCCATCCCATCCATCCATCCAGCCATCTACCCATCTATCTTATCCATCCATTCATCCATCCATCCACCCATCCATCCCATCCATCCATCCCATGTATCCACCCATCCATCTACCCATCCATCCCACCCATCTATCCATCCACCCATCCCATCCATCCATCCCATGCATCCACCCATCATCCACCCATCCATCCATCCACCCATCCATCCCATCTATCCACCCACCCATCCATCCCTCCCATCCATCTACCCCATCCATTCATCCATCCCTCCACCCATCCATCCCATCCATCCATCCATCCATCTATCCCATCCATCCCATCTATCCATCCACCCATCCATCCCTCCCATCCATCTACCCACCCATCCATCCATTCCATCTCTCCCATCCATCCATCCCATCCATCCACCCATCCATCCATCCACCCATCCATCCCATCCATCCTTCCATCCATCCATCCCTCTACCCATCCAGCCATCCATCCCCTCCATCCATCCACCCATCCATCCATCCCACCTATCCATCCCATCCATCATCCATCTCATCCATCAATCCATCCCTTCCATCCATCTATCCCATCCATCTTATCCATCCATTCATCCATCCATCCACCCATCCATCCCATCCATCCATCCCATGTATCCACCCATCCATCTACCCATCCATCCCATCCATCCACC